ACTTGCCGCCCGGACAGGCCGTCCCTCCCACGCGGCCCGAGAAGTGTACATGGCTCAAGTGCCTTTGAAGCCTTGCAAGCATCAATAAACAAGCGTGAGGTTTCGCCAGCAGCAGCCGGCAGCCCAGGGAAAGCCACAGCTGCACAAAAGCCCTTGCGCCGAGGTTTACGCAGGCCCTAAGCGGACTTGCGGTTAAAACAACGGCAAAGCGTCAAATTGTTCTGACTGTCACTGCATTTCACGAGTCGTTTATAATAACGCGGCAGAGCCACCGTGTCCCAGCACCGCACAGCCCCCTGGGCACCGGCGGGCTCCGGGACAAGCAGCGCGCTCCCCCGGTGGTTTCAGCAAGCCAAGATCGAGCCTGCATCAGCCGCGCAGCCCCGGAGCTGCTCCAAGTCGCAGTGTCAAGGGAGGGGGCCAAACCGCCTCCCTTCCTTTCGCTGGGCAACACGGTCTTCTCGAGATTACTGCCCGCTCTGTGGGCCCGACTGCAAAATAAGTTCCCTACCTGACCTACAAACGCAGCACGGCTCTGTGCCCAGGCGGAGGGAGCTGCCTGCTTTCCCAGGAACGTCCAGAGGAACTGCGATAGACAGCCGGACGTCCCTAACGGACTCGCTACGCCAGACAGCCTCCACAAAGGAAGGGCAGAAGCAAGCCTGCTGTTTCTCGAACCTGTAAACACGCTATGTAGGATGTGCAACGCAGAACGTATCTGCAGCAAGAACGGCTTTCCTGTTGCTCGCCATTACCTCTCTTTCAGGTACCATAACCCTTCCCTGCATCCCTGGCGCTCAGCCCAGGCCCAGCGCGTGGCTGCTGGACTCAGTACAGTGAGGTTGGTTTCTGTCAGCCCAGGTCTCCCAGAAAGATTTGTTCTGACACAGAAGTAGGAGTTGCAGAGGAGCTTCTCACACACTCTTCTACTACACCACTCATTTCCAGACAGCATGTGCTGCTAAAATGAAATAGTGAGTTCATGAAAACTAATGAATGTGCAACCTGAGACTGCTTAAGTAGCTGCCTTCTGTTGTCATTATGGATATAAAAGAAGTTGCCAACCAATATACAACATTGGGTGTTATTTATGTGAATCAGCTTTGAAATACTGGGCATTGGCTCACTATCCCACTGAGAAGTTGACTATACCCTGCCAAAGCCAGTGATCAACCCTGTACGAGACCTTTGGAGCACAGTAGAAAGTATCATCGTAAATTAGCCCAGCTGCTCCTGCTGAGATTATTCCAACACTGAAAAAGAAAATCAGATGAACCTCCTCAGGTTTCACAGACACATTCTGGACCAGATCTTGATCTCATTTAGCCTGGAGTAGTCTCACTGAACCCAGCAGAGTTACTCTGATCTGAGACCTGCTCTGATTTCATTCTGGTCCAGGCCTCTCGGTAGAGCAAAGCTCGTCGGCTCACGGCCAAGCCACGAGACAGGCCCCATGCCCTGAAGGCCACAGGAGGCTTCTGAGAGTCCGCCCGAGCCTCTTGGAAGCTTTCCACAATAGCATCAGGGATGATTTTGCCCATCAATGAATTGTTTTCAGAAGAAAATCAGTAGGATCCATCAACAGCAAGAGTTGTTAATATGGAGAATAGATGATAGAGATTACTAAGACTCATGCAGGCAAAACCAGCAGAATTTAATCAGCAGAAGGATTATAGCAAGTACCAAAGGCAGCAATCTGATTCATCAGTCACAAGCCCTAAGACACAAAACTGTCTGCAAACACAATGAGCCCCAGATTCGTAACTTCATGAACCGTGCTTTTACTCAGCTGCTTCTCCATCCTGAGCAGAACTGAGCCCGAGTTCTTGGAAAAGGAAGAAACAGAGAGAAAAGCAAGGATGTTTATTTCAGACTACTGAGTGTTTTCTAAACCACACTATGTCAGTTCTTCATCATGACACTGATTCCTTCACTCTACTTAGATGTTGCCCCACACTGGTCTTCCTCATGTCATTGAACTTAACAAGAGTTTCACTAGCATGCGTCTACGGAAAGTTAACTATAATGAACCACACCACTGAAAACTGATGGGCCACTGTCACACTTTAAAATTAAGGAGACACTGGGCTGCTTGTCAGCGTGAGGCTTCAGTGCCGATCTCACACCAGTTTAATGTAGCGCATCCTGAGGATGGGAAGCCCACGTGCTGACCTGAGGAGCTCGTGATCACTGCTCCGCACTGGGCCAAGGGGCAGTCAGAGCGCTCCGGATAAACGGTGTGATGGCTCCGAACAAAGCACGCTCTGTGGAGAGCACTGAGATATGGAATGAATCCCCAAAGCGACGCAACAGATCCAGCGTGTGCATGTCTTTGGAGAATGCCTCAAAGCCCTCCTTTCTGAAGAGACCTTTCTGCTGCTTTAGGAGTAATACAACACGGATGCTTTCTCTTGCCTGAAGCCTCCCACGCCGCCCCAAAACAAGGATCCAGAAACAAATGACCTTCCTATAAGAATCTAATACAAAATATGCTTACTTAAACTATAAGACGCCTCACAAGCAAAAAGTTTTTTCCAAGAGGTACCAGAAATTCTAGAGACTCCTGATTCCCTGTGAAATGCACACAGGGCATCGGTGTAAATCTTAACAGATAGTTAGCCCACACAGTTTCAACTCTGAAGAGGAAATACATTCTCCCTGAGGCTCAGGTAAACCCTGGGAAAGCTCCTGGAGCCAGGGAAGCTATGCTGATGGAAAGCTGGGGCTAGTACCCATGTGCCAGCAGAAGGCTGCAGCAAGTGGGTGGCGGTTAAGCGTTCTCGCAGCCACCTTGCCGCGCCTGGGAAGTTTTGCAAGGACCATATAGCCGGCTCTCTCCCGTGAGCAGGCCATCTCCATGCTAGCAACACAGATGAGTTGTTTGTGTGAGGGAAAGCAAGCACCTCCGAGCAAACGTCAAGGTTCTCCACGCAGCGCGGACCTCTGGCGTGCCGGACAGCTGGGCCCCGGCTCTGCCGTCCCGCAGTGGCGCATGCTACCAGCCTACTGCCCCAGCCACCCGGGACCGGCGCAGGACTCACCACTCGAGGCTTCTGCTGGTCCAGGGTCTGCAGGAAGGCGGGCGCCTGGTCCAGCATGCGCTCGGGGTCGCTGGAGATGTCCTCCTCGGACTCCTCCCAGGAGGAGGAGAAGCCAGTGGAAGAGGCCGAAGATG